ATTTCTGGTACCAACCCAAGTTCGACGTGATGGTCGCCTCCGAATGGGCAGCTCCGAAGATTTTCAAGACCGGCTTCTTACCATCTCACGTGACTGACCCCGAAGCTTATGGAACTTCACTTAACATTTATTCTTGGACAGAGAGGAAGCTAATTCAAACCATCGATCTTGGTCTGGATGGATGCGCTCCGCTGGAGGTCAGATTCTTGCATGATCCGAACATTTGCGAAGGATACGTTGGAACCGCTGTTAACGCAAACGTCTACAGGTATAAACTAGAGCTTTCAAATAAGCCAAATATAGTCTTTTTCTTTATTTTTAATAATTATCCAACAAATAGGCTTCAAATCATATCATTCTAACACATTCATTTCAAGGTTCTACAAGAAAGCCGATGGTACTTTCACCGTCGATAAAGTCATCGACGTTGAACAACTGAAAGTTGCAGGAGGAGATTGGCCCATGGAATATATGCAAGGTATATATTACAAATATAATACATAAACTTATTTTACGTAGTGTAACTTTTCTAAATGTATTATTGAAACTTAACTAAATTGTTTTAAGGCTTCATCAGTGATATCCTCTTGTCGTTGGACGACAAGTACCTGTACTTGAACAATTGGCTCCAAGGAGACATCCGCCAATACGACATTACAGACCGCGCCAATCCGAGATTAACTGGTAAATACTTGAAACTCGTCCAGATTCTAACATGAAACTGACCGTTAAATTTTGTTTAGGTCAAGTGTATCTGGGTGGTCTTTTGCAATCCGATTCGCCAATCAAAGTTATTGATAACGACAGCTACGTGCCACCTGAACCTGTCATCATCAAAGGAAAGCGTTTGCACGGAGGACCGCAGATGCTGCAGCTTTCCCTCAATGGAAAACGTCTGTACGTGAGCAACAGCTTGTTTTCCACTTGGGATAAACAATTTTACCCGGATGGCGTGCGCGAAGGCGGCTGGATCGTAAAGGTCGACATTGATCACGAAAACGGTGGAATGACGCTTGACAGGAATTTCATTGTGGACTTTGGAAAGACCAAGCATGGGCCAATCCTTGCTCACGAAATGAGATACCCAG